CTCTTGCTGACTTCACAACAGTTCACCGTCGCTCTATTTAAAACGGCAACAACTTTGTATGTATATATATATATATACAGTATATTGCACCTGTTGCAGGATGATACTACGGAGGGACTGCACGTATCAAGATCTTCAGGGAATTATTGGGAACAATACAAACGCCCTCATTGATAAGGAGACTCCGGTTCTCCTTATATTACCGTAAGTGACTACATAGGGGGTGCGAGCAGAGCTCAGTAGTCGGACCTGCGCATCCACTTGTTGAGTTCACAACAGTTCACCGTCGCTCTATTTAAAACGGCAACAACATGGCACGCGCCGGTCTGGTCAGACGGGAGTCGGTGGAAACCGAGATGCACAAGTCCGAAGATAAAATAAAAACCTTCGTTTACACCAAGAAGAGGGGCTACGATGTTACCCGGAACCCCGCCTTGAACAAGGTCAGTGTGGAGATAGTTGTCGGCTTGTTTCCGTGACCGGCAAGGTTGACAAGCAAACTGCTGCTGCCTTCAGGCGCTGTAGGAAATATTAGAGGCAGCAACGACCACCCTAAATGCAATGGTCTGTAATATCATAGCTAGGTCACGAGGTTTAGCTAACTTTCAGGGAGTGGAGATGCCCAACCAGTGATGAGTTATAGGCCCACAACAACGTTTTTGCTAATAAGTTACTACAGTGCTTATGCTAAAGATTGACAACTAGCTTACTAAGATTCCATTTCCCACGTAATTTGTGACGTTCATTATCATCTTCACCACACAAGCAGCAACCATCAATACTGTTTGATGTATGGCACATGTATTTAACAGTTTATTAAGCTGTATAAGTCCTCTTGTTTATATTTCTGGACCGCATTCAGAGAACTCGAGGAGCAAGTGAACGCAACATTATCCAGGAGGTTTAGGTATCAGCTTTGGATGCGTTTATATTTAGATTTAAAGAGACCAAACGGCGTAGTCACACAGAGAGGGGCTTTTTATTAGTATTGCCCTGTCACGTATTGCTTTACAGAGACTCTTGCGGTGTGTCAGGAGCTTAACATAATGAATGGAGCATCAGGCCTGTCCTCCAACAGTGAACATTACAACATGTGATTCAGCATATAATGATAAGCTCACTGTGGAAGCTCATATCATGTCAAGTATAAGCCAACTGTTTTTAGATTTAAAGTTGTTTTCATTTTCTCTTCTGGTCGTAAAATGAGGAACAGAGTTTAAAGTTGCTTAATCATGAAACAAATATTGCTGAGCAGCTTCCTCGTGGAGCGGGAGATAAGCGGAAGACTGTGGGCTGCTGAGATTTCCAACATGATTCATCTGACCGGTCCTTTGCTGTTGACTTAGCCTGATGTCATTTTTTTTAACCATGCTAAACAATAAAAGCCTCTGGCAGCGTCTGAGCCTTTCCAGTGTTTTCTCTTGGTTAGTGTGGCAGCACGGGGCCCCAGAGGTCAAGCTGTGGTGACAGCGTCTCTGTCCATGGTGCTGACTGACCATCTGAACAACTGGCTGAATTCAGGGCCACTCTTATCTCAAATGTGACCTATAAGCAGAGCCTGGCCTGACCGCTCTTTGTCAAAGTCAGACTAATTTTAGAACACTTGAACTTTCTATTTCTTCCCTCCGAGTTGTTTCTCTCGGCACTTCTCTCGGAAGCTACAGGAGAACTGTAGGCCTGTCCACGTCTAATCTTTACTCTGTTCTGGTTTGTTTCTCTATGCGTTTGCAGCTACAATAGTCTAATCGCTATACATGTTTAGTTTCAAAGCTGCTGTGCTCTGATAAAGGCTGCAGTCAGTTTTCCACAGTTGGTCGGTGTAAACAGGGAGCCCTGATAAGTGAGACAGTGGAGTTCAAACAGGCCAGTGTCTGTGGAGCGAGGAGTGGCGAGCTGGTGGCGGCACAGAGACACGCTTGTTAGCGCAAGTTAATGAATCCACTCCTGAGACCTCCACATGCTGCACATCACACATCAAAATGTAGTTACTAAACTTCACAGGTGTGTAGTTGAGATCACAATGAAGGCCGAGGTTGAAGATGGGTGTGGTATCTGCAAAGGGGTAGGAAGTAGGGAAGAGTTCATTGCTTCATTCTTCTTAAAATCTCGTCAGACTGAGGTGATGGCTGTTTGATATGGAGGTCAAACCGGGACCTATAGCTTCAGCGCCTAAACCTGGCCCAGTAAACTGTTTGTTTACGTCTCAATTTACACCTCGGGGCCCTGAATGGACCCAGTGTACAAGAGGGCTCTTAAAGAGGGTGAGATAGGTTGACCTAAATTCATGGACTCAGGATGTTTGGCTGTATTTTGTGTGTTTTATTAAAGGTCTGTTGAGAACCAGGCCTCAGACATTCAAATTTGGAGCCTTTACTAGAACAGTAAAGATGTGTTTGAAGCATAAAATAGAGACACAGAAATATCATTTTACTCAGTTTTAAGAGTCACACTCCCTCATCTGTTGTACTCACTGTCCTCTTTCTAGCTCATTCCTCTTTCTCTTAATTTCCTTCATTTTTCTGTGAGTAAATGTTATGAGAGCCACAGTTCTTTGTTCCTCTGTTTACAAGAAGGCTGAGTATGGCCAACTTTAAAAGGGAGGAGAACCCCCTTTTAAAGTTGGCCATCTTAAATGAGCTCACATTTAATTTTGTTACATTGTTTTGTAAAACAAATGTGGTATAATGAGATTAAACTGGCCTTGAAGCTACCAGGATATGAGGAACCAGTATGTTTTTTTATGTTTTATTTTATTTTATTTATTATGACAAGCTCAGATATCTTGCTATAACCTTTATAGCGTACGCCACAATTTTAAGTGACAATAAAATCACCTTATTTTAGTCAGAGGAGATACAAAGAACACAACCATTCCTACACTTAGAAGGAAAGCAGGCATTTAGCTCATCTGGGTTGGTGGTTGTATCCGATCAGCCTCTCCTCACTCGGTTAAATTGACCCTAAAACACAGGCTCGCTCAAACACACACACAGGTCAGAGTCATAGCAGGAAAAAAAAAACAGGTTTGTTATGCAGCCAGGTGAACCGTCCACTGTCAGCCCCGTGCATGAACCGGGGCTGAGGAAATTGGAGGAGAAGATAGGAAATGACTGCTAAAGAGAGTTTAGTGGCCAGGCACAGGCAGGCCTCTGTGGCTCAGGCGCTGGCACATTATTGCCCCTCCCTCTGATTTCAGCGAGCCCCTCGGGGCCGAGGCATGTTTACCTCCCTGGGCCGGCCCACTTCACCCCTAACAGGAGCCAGTCACAGCACAACCTGCTAATTGATGCTCAGGGATGCGGCGCTGAAAGCAGCCTGTCCTCACATCTGCAGGCATGGATTTCCTTTTAATCCCCCGAGTCCCACGCTTATATGTGTGGGGCTGATGCATGCACACACAACCAGCCTACCATGCATGCACGCACACACGCACGCACAAGGCCTCACCTTGCTCTGCGGCACCAACGCTCCCTCCTCCCTCTCTGGAGGTGGAACCGGATATTATAGGTGTGTTTTGTGTGCGCTCGCTGCGCAATAAAGCGACGAAGTGATGTGCGAAGTGCGTAGAAAGGGTGCTCTGTGGCGAGGAAGAGAGCGCTGGCCGCGCTCCACAGACGACCTCTGTCCCCCAGCTTGATCACACGTTAATGAGGCATCTGTGTGGATCCCGGCCCCCTCAGCTCTGACGCTGGTTCCGCCTGCCGGGACCTTGGAAAACAACAACAACAACCGGCTCCTTAAAAAATGCTCTTAGCGCCCAATCAGGGATGCTGTTTCACCTCAAGCGCTCGGCCCGAGCTGCCGGTGTGTCGGCGGGCCAACAGATGCCCATTCACAGGCTCTCTACTGTGGGTGAAGGGGACTGTAACAAGTGCAGTCTGTCATAAAGGTTTAGGAGAATGAGAACTGAAGCTCCTGTCCGTCGGGCACGTTCTACTTGTTTGAACAAAATAACATCAAACCTGATAAAATAAGTAATGAAACGGTGAATGCTTTCAGCGCTAAATCACAAGAACTCACATTGATCCCCTCGATTAAGCAGCGACCTTTCGTCTATTGAAGTTTTTAAAAATCGCTAACACGATGCATCGCTTGAGCCTGCGAACGCTGAATAAAACGGAGAGCCCGGTGCCACGGCGGCGCTGCAATTTAACGCCCCATTTGCATCCACAGATGAAAGGCTTCAAGTAAGAGTCTCTGTTGTTGGCGAGTGCCAAACAACAGTGTATCTGATTGGGCATCGGGGATAGCGCTGATGCTCCTGATAACCTTCTGCAGCAACTGGAAGTAATTAGGCTCTCATGTTAGATTTATTCTGGTTTGACTGCTACACTCATCGACTTTTCTTTCCCCCCTCACCAGGTTTGCATTTTCTTCTTACCCAAGACCGCCATCAACAGATTTAGCAACAAACAAACAAATGGCAACAAATATGCCCAGATTTTAATTCTGAAATGGAAATATTTCTGTTTCTTCATGGCTCTCTGAATCCTCTTTCCTTTGGTTATGTGTCACGCTTTGTTGGTCGCTGCACGGTGTCTGGCACGCTGAGTTTTCCATGTGGATCGTAATGCGCTCCAGCCGGCCTGCGTTTCTAGCAAGGACTGATAAGGGTTTTATAACCGCGCATGCACTCTAATAGAATTATGTCACAATTGGTAAAAGGTGCCGGTGAGACAACAGCTGGATGACCCGATGCTGACTTCAGCCGATGCAGTCTGGAGCTTTGATCTCCCACTGAGTCACTGTGTCAGCGTGACACAAGGACGACGTTTGTTTTCTGCCCAGTCAAGACTTATAAAAGCTTGATGCTGACCATTTGTGCTGGTGAAGCATTACAGCAGTGCTCTGTTTGTGCTGCTAGCCGAGGTTCCCATGGACCTCGGTACTCTTTCTACATTTATCAGTCTTGTCAGCTTTCTGGACCCTATCCTTCCTACGATCAATATTTCACAACTGAAGGAAAATCCTCTGATGGATATTTGTGACTGTATTTCTTTTTGAAATGCAATAATTTGACTGGTATTTCTTGACTCGATAAGATAAGGAGAGTAAACAATGAGCCCCGAATGATGTTTATTCTGGCACATGTCAAGTTTTACCCCATGAGCCCTTAAATAGTTTCACATTTTGGAAAATACAATTCAGGGCTGTTCAATTACGGCACAAACTTTGGAAACATCATGCATCTAGAAAGAACATTTTGTACAGTTTAAGTTAAGCTAAATGCATCAAACTGGTGCAAAATGAAGAGACTAGATCAAGAACTCTGTGCTCTTGTTTTCATAAACGTTGCAAGAAAATCTTAAAGCAGTGACACCTCAAGACTCCAGGAGTGATTGCACATAACTCCTTGTAAAACAGCAAGTTGTACTTTGGATTTTAGAGATATCACATGTTAATTGGTGAGATGAAGAGTGGCAGGTCGGAAGAGTTTTTAGCC